GATTCCATAGCCTTATTCCCAAGCATAGTGATGTACTCTTATCATGAACCCAAAAGTTATAGATCACAACTATAAGGGCAATGCTCAGGACATATGGATGAGGTAAGATAATCCTGTAAAGTGGTGAATGAGTGAGGCTATGTCCACTGTCACAGGACTCTTGCTACACTTTTCACTTATCCATGTCTAGCATTATTCACAGAGGGAACAAGGTCTACTTCCAGGCGTTAGAATAAAAATAAAGACTGTACATAAAGACCACAGTTTTTGGTTTCTTATGCAGAGTGACCATAGGAGACACTTAAGAAAAGATGCCGTAAACCTTCCATCTGAGACTTTGAAGTTGCTACAGCAAGTTGTAGAGGAAGTATTTCAAGACATTGATATAGACAGTGAGTTTCTATTTAGGAAAGAAGAACACAGGCAATACAAGAAAACACAGAAAGCAGGAATCTAGCAAAACTAAGTGGCTAATGCACAGCAAAATCAACAATCAACAGGATGAACAGAAAACTTCTGGACTAGGAGAACATGTTTACAAATGACACATCCAGGAATGACAACCAAAATATGAGGAACTAACAATAATGACCAGCAACAAGATAAAATTAAGAAACAGTCTAAAGAACAAAACAGACATGTCTCAAGAAGAGTCATACAAGTAGCCAACAAACGCATGAAGAAGTCATCCAAATTCTATAATTATCAGAGGAATGTAAATCAAAATTATAATGAGGTATGATGTCACCTGAATTGGAGTGATCACTATGAGGAAAAAAAAAAGTAGTAGTGAATTCTGGCAAGAAAGTAAGAAAATCAGTCTTAGATACTGTCAGTATTCATGTGAATTATTACATCTATATGGGAAGACAGTATGGAGAATCTTCAAAAACAATATAGAACTCCAATATAATACAAAACAAAGGAAACAGAGCTCTCCTTCCCTCCTTTTCTTCCTCCTTCCCACCCTTTCCCTTCTCTTTCTCTCCTTTCTTCCTCTCTCCCTCTGTTCATAAGCCTGTTCCCTGCTCTGTCTAATTTGAGGTAGGGTCTCAATATATAACCCAGGAAGATCTGGAAATCACTGTTCAGTTACTATAACTAACAATTCTCTGGGACTCCTAGAGCTTGGCTTATAGGCATCCACTAACTCCATGATCTAGGAAGTGAAATCTTTATAGCAAAGACAATACTTTCACTCCCCTGTTTATACTGTGCACAATAGTCAAATATGTAATCATATCCATTTAGTGTCAGTGAGTGGATATAGTGTGGCATAGTTCCACAGGAGAATAGTAGTCTGCTATAAAAAGGGAATCCTGTCATTTGCAGCAACCCAGGTAGGACTTTGGGACAACTATTACTTTAAGAGAAATGCCTGACAAAAAAGACAAATAACACATATTCTTGCTCAGCTGATGAAACCAATAAGTCAACCTTGTAAAGGTATGGAATGGGAGAGTGCTTATTAGAAGGGAGGGAAGGAGAAACTTTTTAAAAGTAAGAGTAGTGTTTAAGGACTAGAAACAATCCTGGGGGAAGAAGACAAGGACCTGGGTAGACAATGGGTAGAGCACATGATGAATACACAGATGGGAATATTAAGACAAACCTCATTGGTATTTTTGTATAATTAATATGAATGTTTTAAAAAGATAAAATAAGGTTTATTGGAAATAACAAAAACAGTATTATGAAGTTTGGCAGACTAAGTGACACTGAATTGTACCCAGAATGACCACTAAATATTTTCAAGATAGATAGGAGAAACAGAATGTGTATAAGATGTTTGGAAAATAAAACACTAATTTTTTTATAGAGTTGATCCATTTTGTGTGTGCACTATCCACGTTTTTGTTGTTGGTGTTTGTTTTCAGGGACACAGTGCTTTTGCTTCCTTCCAGATATATTAAAGTTGAAACATACTTGTACTTTAACACAGAACACAGTGGCCAAGTATTCTGTTTACCCTGTAGTGTGTGTGCTGTCCCTTCTGTCTACAGCTCAGGAGCAAAGCTGGTGGACCATGATGAATGAATGTGGCTCAAACATCTCCTTGAGTGACTTCTGGGAGCTTTTGCATCTACTGATGGTCCTGCTTTTGGCTCAGACTCTGATATCAAAAAAATCTTGACATAAATTTGTGTACGAACATGCTTTCAAATTGTTAAAATCTATTCTTCCTGTGAGAGTACTAGCATACATATGAATACATCCTTACAAATGTATATGACAAGATTCTTTTTTCTACAACTACATGACATACCAGCTTGAAATAAACCTCTACATTCCAGAATTAAAAGTACAACAGTAAGTAAATAAATACTTTGCCAATAAATTTCCTGCTGGGAGTGGCATTAAGCATGCATCAATTTTGAAGGATCAAGAAATAAAAACCTAATGTCATTTCCTCTGGTCTTTTCACCAGCAAGGTACCTCAAGCCTCAGTAATTCTGGACTCTTGTCCCTAATATGATGAGAAATCCCCACTTCCCTGTGCAAACAGATGTATTGTCACCATTCTTTTAGAATTATTGTTTGACTATTTGGTAATTATTGATGTTGTATTGGGTCTTATTCCATCACTTCTGTTTGTTCACATGGCTTAGGGGCATACGAAGTTATTACATACAAATAATTGCATGCAACTGCTTTCGTAGCATTCTATCAGAAATATGGTGGTTGTGACTTCAATGACAATTACAGAATCATCTTTATCTGACTACTCAAAGCAACGCTTGAAGTGAAGGGTATCAGTACCATTCTGAGGTGAAGAATACTATCCCATATGTCTCTCATGACCCTTTTGCCATGATTTGAAAGCTACAAGATTATTGTTTTAATTTTTTCTTAGAAGTTTATCAGACTCACTTCTTTTGTGGTGGGAGGGTGGTTCGAGGCAGGGTTTCTCTGTGGCTTTGGAGGCTGTCCTGGAGCTAGCTCTTGTAGACCAGGCTGGTCTTGAACTCAAAGAGATCAGCCTGCCTCTGCCTCTCAAGAGCTGGGATTAAAGGCATGGGCCACCACTGCCTGGCCCAGAATCAATTCTTAATCATCATTATTAGCCATTTCATTTTAGACATATTTAGTACCAATATTCAGATGTTTGTTTTGCCAGAATTATATAGAGAAATAGTTTCATTTTCTCTGTGTAAAATGAAAATATAACATTTTCAATACTTAAATACTGCATTAGTTCTTACTCCCTCACACATTACTCAAGTGAAGTCTGCTGTGATAACAATCTTTCCTGCCATTATTTATGCCTTGTTCCCTCTTATATTAGATAAAGGCTTAAGATTACCATCCAAACCCATTGCATTAGCCTGATTTTTCTAAGTAAAGGTCATTCTTTTCCTTAGATGTATATCATCAAAATAATGTATCTGCCTTGCTGCTATGCGTGCTAACTTAGTCCTCTTCAACATAGCACAATCTGAAAATTGCATTAACATATTGTTTACTCTCATTTCGAGGTGATTAATGTGGATATTAGACATGACTATAGCTAACATCAATCCCTGTATGAGTGGGTTGGATATTTCTTCAAAATAAAATAACATTTTTATCATTACTTGTGATTTGTGTTTCTATCAATTTTCTTTGCTGATGGCATGAGAAAGTTACATGCAACTTAATTTTATCTTTTGCGTGTCTATCTCAGATTGCTAAAATCAAATATGTGCTTCTGCTGCATTTCTCACATTCATTCATGGTTTCTTTTTTTAATTGTGGACAGCCCAGGTGACATGTAAAATTAATTTATAAATCCAGGTTGTCTTTGAAAGGTGACATTATCATCCTGGAGAGGTTTAAATATCTATAGGGATTTTTGTAGGCTTTGTAATATTGCTGGCCTTCTTAATGTCAACCAAGAATCTTCATTTCTTTTTCATTTGCAAAGCTAAAGCATCCTTGTGACTTTTTTTATAATACCTCCATGGAATTTATTTGTTTTTTTTCCATCATTTTTCTTAGTCTCTATATTTTATAGTTGCTTGAAGTGTGATTTTTTTCTTGTTTGTACACATGAAAAGAAATGGGTATTTGGCACTTAAAATTATTTTGTTTTGTTTTAAGCAAATAGGCAATTAATAAATTGTTTTCCTAACTCTCTTTCTGAGCTATGGACAGATAAAACAACATGACCAAAAACAACTCCAAGAGGAAAGGGTTTACTTCCTCTGACTACACTTAGGTAATAATCTGTCATGAGGGCAGAACTCTAGAACAGGAACTTAGCGATGGAAACAAAGACAGAAGCCATGGAGGAGTGGTATTTACTGACTTGCTCCCCATGGCTTGCCCAGCCTGTGTTCTTATACCACTTGCACAGTGGGCTCCTTCCTCTGATACTAATTATTAATAATTAAAATGTCCCACAGACTTGCCTACAGACAATCTGATAGAGGCATTTATCTTCTTCCCAGGTTTGAGTCAAGCTGACAAAACAACCACAACATAAAACCCACAATAAAACAGGGTGTTCTCTTACAATGTATAGATTAAACTAATCTAACCACTGATAGCATCTAAGCCATTTCTTCTCAACACAAATGGGGCAGTTTGGTGTGGTGGTAACATCCCCATACCCCATTCTTCTACAGATGGATTAGGCTAATGAATCACACCCCCAAAACCTGCTATGTGAGTAATAAAACCTTATGTCAGTGGTAATAAATGTGTCATGAGACAGGGACCCATTTAAGAAGCCTACACATAGGGATCTGAGCAGACAGAAAGAACTACCACTGAGTACTCACTGAGGTGCCAGAGTAAAGTCTGAACCATCAATCTCATTTCTAGGCTGACTAATTTCCAAATACGCAAATGTCCTTTCTTTCTCTGCAAAATCATCCATCATACAGAAGGCCAAAACATTCTTGAGTAGTTATTGAGCATACACTCTGTAAACTTAAGAAGGAATGAATTTGCTTAGGTTCTGTCATTAATTCAATTTAAAATTAAACTTTACAAAATTAATTATTTATTTCTTTATTTTATGTGCCCTGGGCATGAAACAGCTTTGGCCACCAAGTCAGCCATCAAGCTAGGATAAACAAAGGAATGCCATCCACTCTGCCCCTGGCTGATATAAAAACAACACTACCAACAAGGTCTCTCTTTGTCTACTGCCAGGTGTTATTTATTTATTTTTATTATTTGCATTATGTATGGGCATTATGTTGAGGTCAGTGACAACATTTGAGAGTTTGTTATTTCTTCCTATCTTGGGGTCAGGAGACAAACCTACTCAAGCATGGGTCCTCAAGATTGTGTGGTGAACACTTTTACCTTCTAGATCATTTGGCCACTTTTCATCTTAATGTACATGCCATAAATCACAGAAGTCTATGAAGGACATTTTTGTAACTGGCCCAATGTTATGGAAGCATGGTGAATCACATCCAACCATAGCTGCTACTGATTCCCAAGAGAGGGAGGGAGAATGGACGCAGAAGATTTTCACAGCATGGTCAAGACAGAACATCACTGGGAGTTGCAGGGGAAGTTGGGGGTGGTTATGACCAAGACACACTGTACATGGATGATTTCTTCAAGAAAGATAAACAAAGATAGAGGAGAATTAAAAGCTGACAATTTTCATGGAAATGAGAGGACAAAGTTTCACAAAGGGGATAGAACAGGCATCAATGAGATCAGCATCAAGAGAATGTGAGCGTTAAAATTCAGTACTTATATGAATTGAATTTCATTTCTAGGCTTTAAGTAGACACTCTGGTATGCAATGGGAAATCAATCTGAGGTAGTTATTGAAGAGATACATAAGAAGAGAATAAAAGAATAAAAGCAAATGTATCATATATACCATTTCTTTTTCCTTTTCTTTCTTTTTTTTTTTTTTTGGTTTTTCAAGACATGGTATCTCTGTGGCTTTGGAGGCTGTCCTGGAACTAGCTCTCGTAGACCAGGCTGGTCTCAAACTCACAGAGATCCACCTGCCTCTGCCTCCCGAGTGCTGGGATTAAAGGTGTGCACCACCAATGCCCAGCATATATACCATTTCTTATAGAACTAAAATGATCACTATTTCACCTACATCACAATCTCAATATGGAATTGTTTTAACCAGAGTGTCTTCACTGTGTGTTCTGAAAATTATGTTCTATCAAAAATCTATGGATTCTCTATCTATTTACCTACCTATCATCTATTATCTATCTATCAATTATAAACCCATTATCCATAAATTATCTATGAATCATCTATTATGTACTTTTCAATCTATTTACACTCCTATGCAGCTATCAGCCCTTTATATATTAAAAACCCATAAAATCACTACCATCTATCTATCTATCTATCTTTCTATCTATCATCTGTCATCTACCTATTATCTAACAACTTTATCTACCCACCTATCATTTATCTGTTATTAACCTAACAGAGCAAGGGCAGAAGCTGAATTATTTCTAGAAATCGCACCTTTTTCCCCTCTGCTTGATTGCTTTTTCAGGAATAGCCACAACTTTTAATGGCTCTAGCACCATGGCCTGAGGTTCCCCAAACTTTCTTGTTTGAATATGAAATTTCCTTGACAGTGGCTGGTCCCAAGCTGATGATGCACAATTTTGCCAAGCTCAAATTAGGAAATGACCATCTTTTGTCACAATTTTCCAGGAAAAGTCTAGGAAACCTAAGACTAAGTGGTTTGGAATATACAGATCTGTAGTCAATTACTAGCTAATATTGAAAATGAACTATTATTACAAAAGCTCCTAAATTTACACAAAAGTATTTTAAGAAATATTTTCAAAGTGCAGCTATAGTACCACTTACCAAAGTAATGCCAAAATACAAGAAAAATAGCCAATTAATTTATTATCTACTTTGAGTAGAGTGCAATTACAAAATGCCACCTTTACTGTGAGAATTCATTTGAACCATCAAGTGTCACCCTTTGTCTATGCTGAAGCTGAGGCTTAGACCCTGATGAACAGCCACAAGTTTGCAGAATTGTGAAGGGATCTCAATGAAGTTAATAGCAGATTTTCTGACACAAATAAATCTTCCTGGCATATGGAATATATAAAATGCTTGTGACCAAATAACTTGTATTTGATCTGTTAGCAAGAACAGAACAGACTTATACAGTGATGGAGAATATGCTAGGATATTAAGAACATCTTGACTTTCCAGTGTCTATAGTTACACAGTAGTTGCTCTACTTGTTTCCGTTCTTGGCCATCTAACAGGGCCACTCTTGTCGTTTGTCCAACACATGTGTCCAGGAAAGCTGACTGTTTTAACAAATGGCTGTGCACAACGGTGAGGGAAGGCAAATAAGAATCATCTTTGACCTTTGGCAGTTAACACAGACTTGAAGGAGACAAAACATTTATAATTATTTTTAAATATATGATAATAACTGACATTCAAGTTGTCTATGAACAACAAAAAGCAGAAAACAGAAAACTATATATTTGCAAATGAAAACACATTTTAGCACATTTTATAGTCTTTCAGGCATTAATTTTTTATTTCCTTTAAAAGCATCCAGTAATTCTATTAGAAGAACCCACACAGTGAATTTAGTAGCACCAACCTGATGTGTGTTTCCATGTGTGAAGCATACTTTCAAATGTTCTGCATATAATGCCTTGCTTAATATAATGAATGCTCCCTGTGTTTGTTGAATCAGAATGGCCCCCATAGGCTCATATATTGAATCTGAATGCTTAGTATTCAGGGTGTGGCCTTGATAGAGGAAATGTATCACTGGAGGTAGGCGCTTTTATGTGGGTTCTTGGTGATATGAACTCAGATGTACATGTTTTAGAGACAAGCCTGTTATCCACTGAGATATCTCTCCTGCTCCGAAAACCACTAGTTGTTGATAATTGATTACATATTAATGTCAGCGAAGAAAAAGATTCAGAGGTAGCCTTGTGTTTTGGAGCCCATGTCTTAGGGCAAACCAAATTCCTCCAAATTTTAAGCTCAAACCTAAGCTAAACTGTTAGGTTTGCTTTGGGAATAGGTAGCTTTCTTTATAAAACTGAAAAAAATTCCTTGTTTTATTTAAATTAGAAACAATCTTATTTTACATATTAATCACATTTCTCTCTCCCTCCCATCCTTCCATGCCCCCCACCAAACCCCATCCCATCCCCCTTCTGCTCCCAGGGACGGTGAGGCCTTTGATGGGGGAATCATAAAAGTATGTCACATTATTTGGGGAAGGCTAGGCCCTCCCCCTTGTGTCTAGGCTGAGAGAGTATCCCTCTATGGGGAATGCACTCACTAAGTCCATTCGTATAATAGGGATAAATATTGTTCCACTACCAGAGGCCCCATGGACTGTCCAGGCCTCCTAACAGACACCCATATTCAGAGAGACTGGTACTGTCCTATGCTGGTTTACTAGTGGTCAGTCTGGCATCCACGAGTTGCTCCTTGTTCATATCAGCTGTTTTTGTTTGTTTCCTCAGTCTGGGCTTGACCCCTTTGTTCATCACTCCTCCCTCTCTACAACTAGATTCCAGGAGTTAGGCTCAGTATTTATCTGTGGGTTTCTGCTTCTGCTTCTATCACTTATTGGATGAAGGCTCTAGGATGGCATATAGGGTAGTCATCAATCTCATTATTGGAGAGGACATTTAAGGTAGCCTCTTCACTTCGATTGTAAGTTGAGGTCATCCTTGTAGATCTTTGGACATTTCCCTAGTGCCAGATTTCTCTTTGAACCTACAATGGCTCCCTCTATTATGGTATCTCTTTTCTTGTTCTCCTCTATTCTTTCCCCGACTCAATCTTCCTGCTCACTCATGTCCTCTTTGCTCCTTCTCCCTTTCTCTTTCTCCTAACTCCCTCTCTCCTCCCCCCTGTCCCCACGCTCCCAATTATCTCAGGAGATCTTGTCCCTTTCCCCTTCTCTGGGGGACCATGTATGTCTCTCTTAGAATCCTCCTTGTTGCCTTGCTTCTCTCGAGGTGTGGATTGTAGGCTGGTAATCCTTTGCTCTACGTCCAATATCCATATATGAGTGAATACATACCATGTTTGTGATTTTGTGACTAGGCTACCTCACTCAGCATGGTTTCTTCTAGTTCCATCCATTTGCCTGCAAATTTCAAGATTCCATTGTTTGTTTGTTTGTTTTTCTGCTGAGTAGTACTCCATTGTGTAAATGTACCACAATTTCTTTATCCATTCTTCAGTTGATGGGCATCTAGGATGCTTCCAGATTCTGGCTGTTACATATAATGCTGCTACAGACATAGGTGAACAGATGTCCTTGTTGTATGAATGTGCATCCTTTGGGAATATGCCTACAAGGGGAATTGCTGGATCTTGAGGTAGACTGATTCCCATTTTCCTGAGGAACCATCATGCTGACTTTTAAAGTGGCTGTATGAGGCCGGACAGTAGTGGCGCACGCCGAACAGATGTCCTTGTTGTATGAATGTGCATCCTTTGGGAATATGCCTACAAGGGGAATTGCTGGATCTTGAGGTAGACTGATTCCCATTTTCCTGAGGAACCATCATGCTGACTTTTAAAGTGGCTGTATGAGGCCGGACAGTAGTGGCGCACGCCTTTAATCCCAGCACTCAGGAGGCAGAGGCAGGCAGATCTATGTGAGTTTGAGACCAGCCTGGTCTACAAGAGCTAGTTACAGGATGGCCTCTAAAACCACAGAGAAACCCTGTCTTGAAAAATAAATAAATAAATAAATAAATAAATAAATAAATAAATAAAGTG